ATTTCTCCCAAGTATTTTCGTGGTCCTCACCAGCAGCATCTCTTACTGATCATATTCATAATTTTATTTAGTTGTATTTATTGTTATGTCATTTTTGATTAAAATAAATAAATGATATTCATCTATTGTAGAATACTTTATTTTCGCTGAATGGATGATTCCGTGAAAATATAATCCAGCGAATATACTTTTTTTCCTATATTTCACATTAAATTTATCAAAAATCAGTGAAAATAAGTTCCATACAAAACGCCCAAAAAGCCTTTTCAGCGAAAATTCATTCCAGCGAAAATAAAGTATTCCACAGTATATTATTTATTCCGACTGTCACACTCGTAATACAGACAGGATACAGATCCAAATTGCTTTCTTTTAATACAACATGGTCTCCAGTCGGCCATTTTGAATCCGATAAAAATAGAAAAATGACATGCAGCATTAATATTCCATGGTATTCAATGTACTAAGTTTAAAATAAATCTGTTCACACATGACTGAGATCTGGTTTGAGAATGGTGAAAATGTGTAAATTTTCATGCATTTTCAGCCCTAAAATGGCTGCTATTCGGCCATCTTGAATCAGATCATGATACCAATGCATGTCTGACATGAAGCATGTTTTAAGTTTGAACTTGATCGATGCAGGCATGCGAGATACGGGTGGATATTTACACATGGAGGGTCACAAAGAGGACAATCAATAAGTTCCTGTTTTGGAATGCTTAAAAAGAATCGTGTGCTGAGAGCATTAAAGGCATAAAGGATAAAAATCGTGAATATTTAAAATAGGTCTGCTATTTGAGAAGCATGTGAAAACAATATCATCCGTTGAATTGAATTTTATAAAACTTGCAAAAAATAAATTTGATTGTACATCTGTGGCTTTAAGTCCGACTTCTGCAAGTTCAATATAAATCTGATTTTTTGAGACAAGAAATTGGCCAATAAAAATTAGGTAATAAATATGCAATGTTTCTTAACATTAGACTAATCAGCATCTTTGTACCAAGATTTATTGAAATGTTATGATGCATAAATGCAAATTAGGTAATTAAGTATGATTGAATTCTAATCCGAATCTAATCATAAGTGTAAACTGAGAGCCGACTTCTCAAAGTAGAATGAACCAAGCAGGTATTGTTCAACCCAAGAGGAGAATAATGACTGGGAGAGGACTTGTCACTGATTATTTTTTTGTACATAGGTACTGGTGTACCAAGTCTGTGGGAAAATTAATTATGCAAATTTAGTAATTAATATGCAATTGTAATATTGTCCCCAGGCACCCATGTAGCCAGTTAGACTGGAATATTAGTACTTCAGCAAGAATGTTATCCAAATTAAGTATACAATGGTTAGATCATCTATGTACCAAGTTTCAGTGAAATTTGTGATAATGAAAACCCCAGAAATTCACTAATTATTATTCAAATTAGGTAATTAATGAGCATATATTTTAACCTATGTACATGTACTACATACCACCTACGAACCAAGTTCCATCAAAATCTGGTGAGCAGTTATTCAAATATCCATGGAACAGCCATGTATACATACGCAGACAGGATAACTGCAAAGACCCTTATTGTGTTCTTCATGCACAAAAGTCAAAAAAACAAATCTGGGTACTGGAATTTCTTTTCAAGGCAACAATGACAGTTTTGCTGTGTTTGGCATATCACAATACAAACAACTGAGGTGGGGTTACTCTAGAATATACAGCAACTTGGCAACATTCCAGATAACATAGCGCATACACCAATGCACCTCTCCTCTAAAATATTTGAAATATGAACTCACTGAAATGCTATTTCCTGCACATTGAGAGGCAAATTTTGCTGACACAAAGGGTTTCAGCTTGATTTTGGAGGAGCAACGCCCCTCAAATTTTGTTTATGCAAGTTTCACAAAATCAGTATTTGTGGACTTTCCAAAAAACAAAGTTTCATTGAAATTGGACGATGTTACTCGAGATGGCTAGTGGTTGGCGAGTTTTGTTCCATTTTTTTCCTGTCAAATATTCTATGTAACACAAGTACAGTATTACACTGCTCTCCGACAAAATCATGGCGACTGTCTCAGCTTCGTTATAATACAGATATGATCAGGGTGAGGGGCCTAATGCAAACATCTACACACAGCATTGCTAATCAGAACGCACATACCAGTTTGTTAAAAATAATGTTTATTTGCTTGGAGCAATACAATGAATATTGAAGTCTCGCTCAAAAACCATGTGTAGATTTCAGTTTAAATAAATAACTTTGTACAATGTCATCTTATTTGAACTGATTTTACTGTTCTTTGTCAAGAAGCCAAAGTT